TAGAACAATCTTATTAGCTAGCTTAGTAGCTAGATCTATGAATTTTGAGACTACTCTTATCTGATAAAAAATGTGAGCTTCTTTGATACTATGCAATGATTGACTACGTAATTAGATGTCAATGACTTGACAATTGTGCTACAAGTTGAGCATTGTGATCTAAATCTAAATCTAAATCTAGACTCGGTTTTTAGCAATATTTATGTTCTAGCATTCAGTATTCTAATCTATAGACCAAGAAGATGAGATCAAATTTAAGCACAATGCAAGCGAAGAAGCCCCTAATTAGAAACTTGACTTTCATTTAAATCCCCCCCTACTATCATGAATTTGTTTGGGCAGAATTTGACAAAATTCGACGGTGATGAGAAAAGTTACTAACGGAGAACGTTGAAGATGAACTGAATTTTACGCATCGCTTTCGTCTATGGGGGTTCACGGAACTCAAAAGATTTGGCCATGGTTACTGTATCTGTATCGCAATTGTTCGACGTCATCTCATCTATCTTGGAATGTGAAGTCCTTTCTTGAGACAAACTCCTTTTGTAGTTCCATGAAATAAAGTAGTCTTCATAGGGAGGAACGAATAGAATAAGAGGGTATGGAAAGACCAAAGTGAACCGAGACTTTAATGGGATGAGAAGGAAGAATACTTTAAAGTGAGGAGCACAACATATCAACGAGAGGAGAAATTGAAAACTCTGTAGGCTGTGAGTGATCTTGAATGAATACTTTAGTGTCATGAAGTTATCCCAAACTAGTCTTATGTCCAATGTATCGTACCTAAGTAGGCGTTGGATATGTATACATTTCAGTATCAGCACTGACTTTCGAAGATCTCTATGAAACTCATGCCTATTTTTCAGCTCATGGTATGTATTGATGCAATGGGTTTCACTCTTGGGCATCTACCAACTTTCATTGTTTGACATCCTCATCACCCCAGTCCGACCAATGCCTAAGATGAGGTCGGTTAGCAGTGCTTGAAATAAAGTTTGGAAGAGAGTCCTTCTGGCATTTGAATGTCATCCGAAACGTTGAGTTCATCTGACATTCACTGTAATTGGTAGACACACCTTTGGCATCGGAGCATTTTAAAGAAGCTTTTTGAAAGTTGAAAGCCGTTGTATCTGAACTCAAAGTCTCGAAGCCGGTTTGATCGCGTACGTTCGTTCGCACTATCGTTGGATTCAATGTCCGATCCCAAAACGTCCAAACATTTACATTACTCGAAGCGAGTAGTTCGTAGATCTGGTCTCGAGCGGGACTGTGGATATTGAGTCAGCATGGATTGGGCTTTATCATCCCGTCGTTTGCTATAGCATGAATTTTTTGGCCACATTACTTCAATGCAATCCTCCAATCAAGAGGAACTTTTCCGTCACTACTTCGTGTTCGTTACGGTTTCAAGTTGCACAGCCTTTCTAAATTATGCATACAGTGACTTATCATTAACATAACTTTTGAGTATAAAATTTGGACGAACGTGAAATTAATAACTTGAGGCCCGAAAGATACCTTGTCGTCGAGGCAATCTATGGTTCCCTATGGTATCTGGTATAGCAAAACCTCTCTATAAGGGTCCCCTCTATAAGGATAACCTCTATTATCCTTAACATTTTTTGATCGGTTAGTTGGATAGCTCTCTATAAGGATATCTCCATGTGTTCTTAAAAAAGACTACAAAAACCGGTGTCCTTATAGAGAGATTTTGCTGTATCTCAAGTTCACGGCAAAGACCATCCCGTTTTGAAAAAAGAATAGTCAAAAATAGCCCATCCAAATTTCCGCTATCCTCGGCGCACGGTCTTGTATTGGATAGAGTTGTCTCCACTGCCCATCTCCACTGTACATCTCCACTGTCCATGTTTTTTGTGTCTTTGATGTCGTCCGATACCACTTCGGATGGGGACAACAAGCAAATATCTGGTAACTCTGGGCACCTAAACCTTATTTGCGTTGATTTTCCGGGGGTATTGAGACCCGCTACTATTTACCTTGATTCTTATAGAGATCCGAAGACTCTTCCGGGAGCACCTACAGTATATCGAGTGGAATATGTAGGTCTACAAACAAAACGTGGAGAGCACTTACTGTTCTTCATATCTCGGTAAGAGAAATGAACCAATGAAGGGGTAGAAAGTCAGAAAATGTGTTGCTCAGACCTCCATACGATTGCTCTCGGGACACATCTGATCGGAAAGAAATTGATATGGCGTCTCCCACAAACAGCCATTTATTCCATATTATATACTGGTGACACGATTCTACCGAAGATGATGCATAGAATAACTTGTACTAAACAATTTTCTGTTCTGACGGCGCTCTAAGCTTGTTTCATGTGAAAGTGTTCCCCACAACCTATCGGTATTTTTTTTTTATAGCCAAGCCATCATCGTTTCATGTGGTGGTACTTATGTACCAGCCTGCCAGGAGGTACTGAACTCGTGAAGAGGTTGTCAAAGGGGGTTGGATGTCACGAATTGACGTGGTCTTGTTGCGAAAAAAACCCTAGATTCGAATCTTTCTGTCTAGATATGGATACATGTGATGTTAAATTGTAGGGGATGTATACCCTTTCGGTGTTTGTGATGAATAAGAGTGGGAGTCTCGCCAGGAGTTTCTAAAAGTTTCCCTGTCGAGAATCTTACACTCGATGGAAAAGAATGTTACTCCGCAGATATCGAAAGATCCGGGTATATGCTCCCGAATCGTTCCTGCACTATAGGGTAGCTTGGTTTACTTTACCGGAATTGCATTTTCCTTTTTCTGCCCGACTCTGAAATAATCCCAGACTTCTCATCGCTGCCAGAAAAGCGATTTCTCATTCAGTAACGAGAGCCGTCAATGATCTGCCGCGAAACAACAAAGTTTCGATATGTATGAGCTTTGTAATTTGTATTTTCTCTTTTCGGGAGATATTCATTTGGAGTTATAACTAGATTTGAAGGACCAGTTTTTAAGAACAAGCTCAAAAAGATAGTTGTGATCCCAGTGATCCCAGTGATCCTAGTGGTTTCCAGTAGCCAATAAAGTCAATGTGCCCTGTACGGAGTACTACTTCGTAAGCGGTAAATACAGGGTCGGTCATGAAAAACATCCGACCTTTAGAACCCACCAAGCCCACTTACTACATTCTCTTTCAATGTCTGTCTGTGATATCACATATGGTCTAATGGCTAAGACTTTCTTTCTTTGAGAATGAAATAATCTTGACTGATCTCAGACTGAGTCTACGAAGTTGTGTTGTGTGATCTCGTCCCCTGTTCTGTATTGTAACCTCAAAATACATCCATTATATTAATAGCTTTCAAGTTAATTGATGGATGGGAAGGATAAGATTAATGTTGCATTGTCTCAGTAGATATCCAAGAACAGATACAAATCGTGAGAATGTTACGAATAGTTATGTCATTCAGTACAACTTGAGCCGCTTTGCATAGTATAAGCAAATCTTAATGGGTTGTAATGGCATCTGAACGAAATGATGGGAATCCTTTCTCGGATCCTGATCGATTACCTCATCTCATATCAATGAAACGGAAATTTGGATTTAGATCGTTTCAAGATGTTTATCTAATGTTTGTGTCTCGAGCTTTTGAAGTCATTGGATTGGTCGAGATGTCTAAATGATCTCCATGGCTCCATCAGAGGGGGCTGTGCAAAAACTGATGAAACACTGATCACAACTAATTGACTCCACGAACCCCGTTTTAATGACTTTCCCTTTTCCAAAAGACTAAAAGTTTATCGACCCCTAAAATGTTCTAAATGGCGCTCTCAACCCTAATTTGATCGGATCATGATTGTGATTTATCCAATGATCATGTCATCTGAGATCAGGAACCGCTGTAAGCATCTATTTGTGGGCCTAATCTGATTGTTCTAAGCCAAATCGAATACTACCTCATGGCTGCATCTCCAACCAAATTAATAAATGGACAGCTGCTTCCAGATACCCTGCATAAACGTAAAGTTCCGAATCGGGTGCTGAAGATACGTTGCATAACTTCTTCAATGTTCACCATCCAATCGTTCCTTTGCCGCTCGGCTGTGTGTTAGCATGTATTCAGGCGCATTTCCTGAGCGTTACAATTCTGCAACACCCTGAATGTATGTGTTGCTGTAGGACACCATGACTATGGAATATATGCGCTCAAGCTTCAGGCATACAATATTGACAATTTCAAAGAAAATCGAACTATCTAACCTCCAAATCGACCCAAAAGTAAGTAAGGCGGGATAATCTATGGATGTATACTATAAGAACATGTATTTCTTTTGTCCGAACTTTACATCTGATTGAATGTAAGCAATAAGCATTGACCTTGCGAATTCTGGGCATCATCACGATGCACGACTAAATACGAGGAAAAATAATCCCGTCTTGAAAAGTTGCCCCCTGACTAGGACAGTGTACCTGCAGTAGTTCGCATGGTCAAGTTTCACCTGTTCTTTTTCCGCATCTGCACCCCTCGATTAAGCAAGCATGGCCTTTTTACAGAGACCATCTTGGCCATCTTAACCAACTACATTTGTTTAAGCTAGGGAAGTTCAGACTCCACATCAAAAGTAAAGGACGAAATGGCGCGCGCATGCATGGGTCTGAAAGGATATGGCCTTGTCTAGTGTTAGCTTCTTCAAAGATTCTCCTCGTCTAAAGAATCCTTGATGATTGTGGGACAAGGTTCTCATCTAGCTTTCTGAGTGATTCAACACGGAAGACCCTAAGAAAGGGATCGAGGCTATGTGGAAAAGGTCATGGCCCAACCGTTTCTCAAGATATAACAGATCCTGAGAATCCTCATGTTAGATTCTTACTCCATTCATTACGATTATTCATTTATCCATTCTCTTATAATTATATCGCCCTTTGAGAGTTAAAGTCATTCACTTCTTTACTCTCTATCTCTTTTCTTCGGCATCAAAAAATCATTCGTTATTTTTGTTTATTTATTCTTTCGTTACATACCAACACTCGTTGATCAACTTATATAATAATGAAGACTCAAACCCTCGCCCTTGCGGCTTTGGCTACCGGCTTCCAGCTTGCTGCTGCCACCGGATGGGCAGACAAGTCTAGCTTTTCTTGTCCTTCAAACACCAACAATGAGTGCTCTTCAACTCAAAAGAGCGGATGGGATTTCAGCGACCTCACATCTGGATCTTTCAGCAACTATGACGCTTTCGCCTTCTCTGGATTCACATGCTCAAATTCTTTCGGCAAGCGTGATAACCCAAAGTTCCCAAAGAGAACTTCCGGAAAATGTATCTCTGGTACAGCTTCGTCAGACCATGGCTCATGCCCTCAGTTCTCCTGCGGTAGCTCATCCAAATCTGGCTCTTCTAAATCTGGATCTTCAGGCGATATCTCCGCTTTCTCCATCTCCACCGTTCACGTTACTACCGAGTTCGATTGTGATTTAGAATTTCATTATGGTATGGGTGATGGATCTACTTGCAAGCAAACCTCTCGTTGCTCAAGTGGAGGTTCCATCATCTCCAACTCTCAATGTGGTGGTGCCAAGAACGTCACCGTTGTTTACTCTTCCGCAAGTCAAACACATACTGCCGCTACTGGTAAGGCTTCTTGTAGTGTTGGTATTAGCTCTGTTGGATTCGACTGCAGCTCGGCATCTACCACTCAACACCCATCCACCACTGCTAGTGCTAAGACCTCTGTCAAGACTACTTCTGTCATGACAACCTCCAGCGAATCTTCCAAGCCCACTTCCGTTGAATCCTCCGAGACTACTTTGGCTTCCTCCAACAAGGTTACCTCAGTTAAGAGCACTCCCTCCGCCACCGGTACTTCATACACCCTTGTAGGAACTGGTTCTACCAAGTCTTCGATCATTGGGACTTCAGTTAAGCCAAGTTCAAGTGCCGAGACTAGTGTTGAGACTAGTATCAAGACTTCAGAAAAGCCAAGCTCTTCTGTTCACACCTACCCAGCCGGTACCGCTCCAGGAAGCTCTGTTTACACTTACCCAGCCGGTACCGCTCCAGGAGCCTCTGCCTCTTCTATTATTGGTACAGCAGTCACTGGATCTGGATCTTCATCTGTTGTTCAATTGACCACGTCTACCATCTACGCTACCTCTGTTTCTACTATCATTTCTTGCGCCGAAACTGTCACCGACTGCCCAGCTAGATCAACTGCTTTGACCACTGTTGTGTAAGTTCAAAATATCCGTCATATTCTAGTTTTATCTAATAAATTATATAGTATTGCTGTTTCTACTACCATCTGCCCAGTTACCGCCACTGAGGTTCCAGGTTCATCCGCTGCTGCTTCTTCAATCATCGGTACATCCGTTGTTTCCTCCCCAGGTGCCTCTTCCCCAGCTTCATCTGGTGCTTCTTCCATCATCGGCACATCCGTTATTTCTTCCCCAGCTGCTTCTTCCCCAGCTGCCTCCACTGCCCCATGTGTCTCTTCCAGTGCCCTTCTCTCTGGTCAAACTGCTTGCCCAGTTTCTTCCGGGTCCGCTCCATCTTCCTCCAAGGTTTCTTCCATTATCGGTACATCTGTTGGAACTGCCCCAGTTTCATCCCACGCAGCCACTAGCGCGACCAGCCTTGCTACAACTGCTTACACCACCGTTATTGTTCAAGAATCTACCACTATTTGTCCAGTAACATTAACTCACACCACTGGAGGAGTGACCAGCTTTGAGACTACCTCGACCACCTCTACTGTTCGCTCTTCATCCACAGTCGTTACTTCTAGTGTCATCACTGTCACTGCCCCAGCCAGTGCCGCTTCTTCAACTGTTCAAGGTGTCACATCTGTACCAGCTCCAAGTGCTACTAGCCTTGCTACAACCGCTTACACCACTGTCATTGTTCAAGAATCTACCACCATCTGCCCAGTAACTTTGACCCACACCACCGGAGGAGTTACCAGCTTCGAGACCACTTCGACTACCTCGACTGTCCGAGCTTCTTCTACTGTTGTCACTTCCAGTGTCATTACTGTTACTGCCCCAGCCAGCTCGGTTGAAGGTGTTACTACTACCGCTTCTGCCACTACTCCAACTGAAACCGCTGCATGCCCAGATGTCTTGCCTCAATGCTTGAACACCTGGATGTACTTGGTCGGTTGTGAGTCCAACACTGATTCAGACTGTTACTGCCCAGATACTGCATTCATCAACAGCGTCTTTGGATGTGTTTCTGCATATGGTATTTCCTCATCTGACATTGATGCTGCTCAAAAGTACCTCCAAGGTATCTGTGCTGCTCACGTCTCTACCAACCCAGCTATCGTCACTGCCGCTTCTACCGTCTATGTTCCAGCTGCTTCCACTGGCGTTGCCACTTCATCTGTTCGAGGTGTCGCTTCTACCCCAGTTACCACTGTTACTCTTAGCACCACTTTGGTTGTTCCATGCACTGAATCTACTGGTTCCCTCTCCGGATCAGTCATCCCATCTTCATCCACCACAACCACTATTTCCACCGCTATCACCGTCCCACAAGTCGCTTTCTCCACTGCCCCAGCAGTCGGGTCAGCAACTGCTAGCGTTGCTCTCATCCCAGGTACCGTTGCTGCTTCCCAAGCCGCTGGATACACCACCTCTGCTCCATCAAGCACCACCAAGGTTGTATCCGGTGTCGCAGGAGCTACCAACGTTCCACCTGCCGCTACCACTTCCGCTTCCGTTCCATTCACCGGCAGCGCCATCAAGAGCACTAGCAGCTTTGGAGGACTCCTCGCCGCTGCTCTCGTCGCAATCTTTGCTTTGTAAGCAAATGATTCAATCTCATTCACATATTTCATTTTTTGTTTAAGCACGATCATCAAAATCATGCATAGATAGCATCAAGTCCGGGAGGCGTTCAATTCGATACCAATTTCATTAGTTCACTCACACCTGATTTTCTGTTTGGAGGAAAAACATAATCAGCTTTGTTCCATCTTTATGGACGTTACGCCAGTCTGGCATGGTACACGGTACACACGAGGGTTGGGAGGGTATGCTGGATCGTCATATGATCATGAGTAATGGTTGGGGAATTGAAAAGAAAAGTGTTTGTTAACACTGTAATTATAGATTTTTCCTCGGAGAGAATATATAAAGGATTACCCTCTTGATTGTTTGTGTGTTTTGTGTGATGAAAATGCTTGTCTATGTGTGATGTGATTTGTTGTATATGAACTGTTCCGTATAAATTATGTATAGGGTGCTGATAAATAGAAAGAAAATGAGGATATTAACATTTCAATGACTTGAACGAATCTAATGATTCTCTACTCCTAAAACATCGATTAAATCCCATTTCAATTCAACTCTCTATTTTTCCTGTATAAACCTCATATAGGTACTTTCTGAATAATTCATCTTCCAGTTATATATGATATTTTAAAATATGTAAGTTAGGATTGAAATACCTCTCTGTATGTGATGTGACTCCATGTGAAAATCGTTCGACTTGATGAAGTTAACTCTTACTATAGGATGATAGGTCTTCACTCGTGCTCCAACACTTGACCTATCAGTTAGGTATTTGAGGGTATGATTTCCTGTAAATGACATCTAGCTCACCATAAATTTGTGTTTTGTAGATTATGTAGCCATTGTATCAAATGATTGTTGGCAAAGTAAAGCTATCTTAAGCCATCATACTGCCTTGAAGTAGCTCACCAAGAGCTTGTCAACAGTATTCCATATAAATTTGACAGATCGGATAGTAGACTATTATTCATAGATGCTAAATTTCATGAAAATCAAGGGACCTTCGCCTCGGATAGTACCGACCTAATAAGGGGTCATTCATTTGTCAAATTAGATTTACTAGCTAGACAAACATTTATGGTATGGATGTAATCTTGTGTTCCGCCTCACTTTAACAAATATCCATGCTGAGGCGCATTATATCATGATTATTCGTAAATCTCACTGTTTGCCACCAGAACGCCTGAAATATACATCCTATCTGAGCTTTTCTAACAGCCAAACTTCACATCCATCTTGTCTCCGCACTCCCTTTAATAAGGCCATCGAGCTCACTCGTAGTCCAACCACCATAAAAATCTCCAGGTTGTGGTATAACTTTCTCTCCATCCACACAACAATCCCATGGTCCAGCATAGAAACTCAAATAACCTTTCAATTCAGCATACTGAGGTGTGGGAGCTTCGTATGACCATATTCTGTTGGTTATTTCATGCTTTCGGGGCTCGGATGATTGTAGCTGCTTTTCAAAAGGACAAGAAGAGGCAGGAGAAGGAGAGAAAGGTGTAGGTAATGAGATCGAGTAGTATGTGGCCCAGCCTTTGTATTCACAAAAAGTGGATTTGTTGGTGGCGGTTAGAGGGAAGTTTGGAGATAGGGATGTGGCGGGGAGGTAGTATGCTGTTCGAATGTTAGGGTATGGATCGAGAGAGAAGACCGAGGCTAGAGCCATCATGAATGGAAAAGGGGTATTCACTGGGTGAATGATATGTTTCCAAAACCCAATATGCATCACTTGTTTCAGCAATAGTTTGACCTCGATATTTTACAATGAGATGGCGAGATGTTTTCTCAAGGAGAGGTGGACGTGGAAAGTTTTGAACGTTAAGCCTTGGTTTTGGAAGCATATTGATAGTAAATGCTTTGGTGAATCAATATATCGATCAATACAATTGAACTATATGATAACTTATTATTCTAGAAAGATATAAGATATCAACAATGGAGGGGTTTAGGTTTATGCATACCTACCTGGTACTAGTATCTACATCGTAAAGGATGACTAAGCAATCTAAGGCTAATAAGCCTAGCGCCCCCGCAATCGTCACACAAGTGCAAGATCCCAAGTTCGCAAGGCTAGGTAGAATTCCATCCATCTACTAATAAATATCCATTCAAATTCTGTCTATTGTCGTCGCCATACCAATACAAACACATTCTGCGACTTTTCAAGATCATATCTACCACTCAATATCATCATCATGTCAGGACTCGAGAAAGCCCTCTTCAATTTGAAGGTACGTCATTCTGCTTATCTTTCACTCTATATCGCACATCGATCGCACTTCAACGTCAACTGTTCTGCGCATACATGTAGCCTCAAACTAACTCAATTTTCAGTTCACCGCAAAACAAATCAACCGACAAGCCAACAAAGCTGGACAGGCGGAAAAGGCTGAGAAAGATAAACTTAAGAAGGTATATTCCGCCTTTCCATTTCACACATCTCCAGAAAATACAACTCGTTAACATCACTCTACAGGCAATCCAACAAGGCCATCCCGATATCGCAAAAATCAATGCCGAAAATGCTATCCGCAAACAAAATGAGAAATTGAATCTACTAAGGTTAGCCAGTAGAATTGATGCCGTGGCCAGTAGAGTACAGACGGCTGTTACCATGAGACAAGTCACCGGCAGTATGACGAATGTAGTAAGAGGGATGGATCAAGCTATGAAAGCTATGGATTTGGAAAAGGTCAGTCTCACTTCTATTGACTATCAGATCTCTGTACTTAACCCCACTTTTAACTTTAACTGATAAAATATAAACTCTATAGATCTCAGCAGTAATGGATCGATTCGAGACACAATTCGAAGATTTAGATGTAGCAACCGGTTATTACGAGAATGCAACTACATCGGCAACTGCAGTAGCAACTCCCCAAGAAGATGTTGATAGATTGATGAACCAAGTTGCGGATGAGGCTGGAATTGAGTTGAATCAAGAGATGAAGAGTCCGGAAGCGGCTACCCCAGTCAAATCGAATCCAACTGAAGTAGAAGAGGATGGATTGGGCGAAAGATTGAGGGCCTTGAGATCGTAGAGGCTTATAAAGGGGGAAAGATATTTGGGTATAGGCGTTGTGGATAAGAACAGAATAAAGAACGGCGAATAGGGTGTCCTGTTATTACTCGGGTTGTATTTATCTGTGGATTTTTTGAGCGTATTCACATTAGAATGCTTACAAGGAACTTGAGGATGTGGATCGGTGCCTGACTTTGGTAGGAAACCTTCAGCGATGTATATCTCCTACTCAATAATCCAAGCGGTGCACTTATATTAAGGTTATCAAATTACAAACGATTTGGGGAAGAAAGATGTTCGGCGATTTCAAATCTACTAAAAGCTTCAAGCGAAGCTCCTCTACGCTTTTCTTTTCATTATTCTGTTAGATGTCATTTATATGTCATTTTTATCTACTCGCTTCTTTCCCTTAAACCTTTTGTCCATTTCATAATTACTTTTATCATATCTTCGAATATTTTAACATTCGGGACAGATTGGTATGTTAATTTCATGTATTTGAGGATTTTACTTCTTGGTTCCTATCATGAATTTTAAGCGTGTCTTTCCCGGTTCTCGTAAATTTGGAATTCCTTATCCCTGGAAAGGTCACAAAAATAGGAACATCTCGTCATAGAATGGTAGTGAATATCCAGGTTTTCTTAGAGACTGTATGGAGATGTTTCCGGCATAGAGCCGAAGTAAGCATGTTCAGAACTCTTGATAAAGGATCAGATTACAGGTAATTTGTGGAAATTTTGACTTTGAGCATGCTATTGGGCTGTTAGCTGCCCATACTTTGGTCTTGTGAACTATTATCGGCTTATTACTTACAGAACTTTCCCGCGTAAGTTTCGGATCTTGACAATGAAGCTTAGTGTAAAACTCCTTCCAGCGGCTTCAGTACCAATCGTTCCATTTCTCTTGTCTTTACTTATCTTCTTGCTTTCATATATCTAATATAACGCATAATATCCCGAATGAACCGCGCGATGTATGCTATGCAAACATTATGAGCAATGACCAAGATCCAGAAAGTGAATGTTCACATTTGCTGGTAAGCCACCTTGCAATCTATGCGGATTTCAATACTCATATTTAACAGTTCGCACTTCAGCTATGCATGAAATATAGTGCAAAGAATACCTACCTACTTGCAGCATCCAATCTACGCCTGACAACTTATCAAGTTCCGGAATATACATTGAATACAACGCTCAGATCACAGTTATCAGCACACATACATAGATAACCATTCGACAAATTCTATGATGAAGCGAACTCTATTTCATATTTCTCTCCGTGTGAGATGGTATAAAACTATTTCTGGTATGTGATCTGCCACTTCTGACGTTTTGAATAGTTGAAAAGATACTATAATCAGGTGAATGTTAGATCTTATTACTACATGCGTACTACGGTTGGTGGAATTCACCAGATGGTTATTAGTTTCTGATACCGTAGATCTACATACAGACCAGATTTTGATATTGGTATTGTTCCGCAATTGCATGACTACATGTCAACATGGGAAAATACTTCCATTCATACAGATCCGGGATCAAGTAGATCGAGGTATAAATTGATGTGATGCACCAGGTCTCCAGGAACAGGAAGCGAAGAAAATGTGGAGGTATTTACTGAGGTGGTTTTCACATAGCACGTAGGATTCTAGACATCGATCCTTATGATGGGAACTCAATCTCGGTTTACAAAACTACGGAAGCAGCTCTGTCATGTTTGAAATGGAGGTCTATATCAGCTGACCAATTATGTTGCACATCTGTCTGATTTGCGATGTCTAAACATCGTGCTCAGAACCAGCAGTAGGGAGTGCCTGCATTGATTTTAATTTCCTGCCACCTGTGTAGCTTTGTCTCCACACTTGGAGGGACTGGTGTTGACGACTTTGCTCGCTTCACGCTTCTCATGATGATCTCCGCACATGAAGGAACCGGTATCGACAGCAGCACCGTCTGTGCTAACCTCGCGCTTATCTCGTGAGCTTCCATACTTGGAAAAGTTGGTGTTGACGACTTGGCTAGCTTTGGTAATAATCGGTTCGACTGTGCCTTGGGTACTTGGACAAAATACACTGACCCTAGTTAAAAATGTGAGCTTTCACTATATAGTGCACTTGATCACCTAGACTTCTCAGCGAGTCAACAACTCATCGTTTCAATTTTGATGCTAGGTACGATGTAGCTATTCTCGCTAGTGGGAGTCACAAAACCAGACGAATCGGGAAAGAGGTATCAGTTCCAGGGACTATTGAATATGTCATGTATGAACAGAATTTGCGCCCCTTCAATCGTAATACATGATTCGCCATCAAAATTGTGCATTGCGAATATCTTATCTTGTAGATTCAAGTACATTGCCTGGATATGTTACGACGTGCTTATTATGAGGATTATTAGAGAGACGAACCGGAGCCTGGGATATATAGTCCATAGATCTTGGGCTACAGTCTTGGTGAATCTCGGACATGGTTGTTTAGTCCAAGTTTATGTGCTATTCGGTATGATAGATCATTGTGCTGATAACTTGCGTCAGAAGGCGATTCTTTGTCCCTTGGTTCGTCTATATCAAGACTGAGAAACTCACTGGATATAGTTGATGAGTGATATAGACACTGCTGTTAGGACATATGTCTGGGATGAAAAACACCCAGCATACCTGTTCAGACTCCAGCTTTTATTCCTCCCCTCTTACAAAGTCGAACGAGTATTATCAGCTAATCTTTGGTTCTTCACAGACAATCTAAATGTTGTAATTTCACCACAGTGAAACACAGTAAGTCTTGACCACAAGTTATTCACAACAGAAACACATGGCATGGAATGAATGCCAAGATCCAAGAATTTGGAAAATTCGCCGGATGCTACTGACATATAAACAACCGCAGGCCTGAATATAATAGAGAGAGCCGAGATGAGAAGGGGAGGTTTCCTCATAGCGTATGACCAATGAATCGCGTAATGGACTTGGATTGTGAATCCGTCTACTATGTTATAGGCTTTAATGAAATTATATCAGCTTTGATTTCGACCAGATAATTGTTCAGAGTCCACATTGCTTGTGATTAGATGATTAGATGTTAGATGATTAGTGAATAATGATGATGCTAACTTAACTCCATATAACCTCCCGCCATAGACCTTTCAACTGAATAACGTCAAATACAAGAAATATACCACTCTATTTACAACCCTAAGACACGAGACCATATACAATCATTCGACACCAAACAATCAATAAAGCTCCAATCTTTTCAGGACGGTTGGGTAGCGAAGAAATGGATCAACATCAAACGAACAAGTGGGGCAGTCCCTCTCTTCTCCACTAACAGTAAACAGTCTCTATATATATCCAGCAACCTTTCTCACCTTTATCAAATACGGTGAGATGGCCGAGTTGGTCTAAGGCGCCAGGTTAAGGTGATTAATTCTTAACATATGATTGCTTGCAATCTCCTGGTCTAGTAATAGGCGTGGGTTCGAATCCCACTCTCATCAAATTATGTTTTTGCACTTTTTTGGTTGGAAGGAGAAGGGTTTTTCGCCTAGCGCGGGGTAATTCTATTTTTTGACCTACAACCAAAAATGATAACAAAAACGATTTGACTAATCTTTTGGCTCTAAAATTGTAAATTGGGAACTGAAGCTCTATTTGTATTCTGACATTTATTTTTATACAGATCGACAAATTACTGCCCTTTAGCGCTTCACTCACGTCCCCATCAGTCAACAACCAAACCACCACAAGAATGGTAAAAATTGGCAAAAAGGTAGATTTCAGCCAACGGGTTCAAACCGATGATACTCATCGTAACTCCCTACACAGGGCTCGAACCTGTAGCCTCAAGATTGAATCTTTAAGATACCGAAGTATCTTCTTGATAGAAGTCTTGCGCGCTACCATTGCGCCAGCAGGGAAATCTTATGATGTTGTATATTGAACATTCCTTAAATAAGTGTATAATACAATAAACTAGAAAGGTGGAGAAAAGAAGAGAAACACTCCAAAAGCACATAGTAAAACTCTAGGTTCTGGGTTAAGCTATTCGAGTTCTTGGAAAATTCTGATAAAAAAAATTAGACTACCGAGAAAATGAAGGGGTTGAGCCGAGATGACCCCACTATTTGTGATTTTTTTTGCCCCACCCAATCCACAAAGTGTATTGTTCTTTACTTCTGGTCATGAGATTTGAGAATATAATGCCAAAATGCGAGAGGTCAGACATACAAATAGGCCGGATGGTGTAGTTGGTTATCACGTGTCCTTAACAATTCACACCTGTTAAAATACGGACAAGGTCCTGGGATCGTGCCCCAGTCTGGTCAATCAGCATGTCGCAAGATAATTCTTTTGCCGTTTTCTGATATTTTGGCCGAGATTTTGATGCAGTCTGTCGTCGATCTTTTGCTACATTCATCTATACATCTCATCATGGTTGTATATTGCTGTCGACAAAAGCCAAAGTGCATTCGGCGTTGGTGAGGTCTGTGGGCCTTTATTTTCACTCATTCGTTCTGGGTTTGCTCGCCAGCTATAATCTAGCTTTGATTGAACATCTGAAAAGCACCCCTAACTTTGAATATTCTACCGGCGACATCATTTTCTTAAATTCACTGTTCAATGCTAGCGAATGCTACTAGTCTTCTACATACGAAATAGGAAGTGATGTGAGGATGGAAAGGTCGAATACTCGCTTTGACTTAGTTTCGGTGTCTGTAGCTGTTCGAAAATTTGGCCTACTTGGAACTAGAAGCTTCAAGTGTGTTGGTAGGAAGAATAAGAAATTTTTGGTCTCTGAGTCCCCGAAAATTCGGAGGCGTGTTGCTGTCTGGCGGGAAATGATTAGAGTAACTTGAGGGCCTGAGAGGTAGTATAGAGTGCCCTTATGTCGAGCTCCCACACTAGTTAAACCGAAGCTTGGTTGAATGTTTTTGTGGCTTTTTGAGTGTCTTTGTATCTTCCCCCTTGCCCGTCTCTTCTCTTTGATGGATGTCCGGAGAAGAATTTGCCCGACTGTCTGAATATCCTATATTAATGTATGAGGGAACTTCGCTGACAATGTCTTTAGACATTGTAGAGAGACTTAGCTAATTGGCCACTTGTAAATTGTGTAGTGGAAATACAAGTGCAGAATAGATATTATTTGAATAACAAGAAAGAAACACGCATATCGACAGAACTTGAGTCATTTTTAAGAGTAGAATATATTGAGATATCTCGGAATATGTACGTGGAGCCATGCCAAAATCTTCTGACGTCTAATTTGTAGATTGCCTCGAAGGCGAAGGGGAGTACGATCACTACTTACGACTCACCAAGAAATATAGGAAGTTCAAGCCGCTTCACATACCATATCTCACAAGAGTGTGAAGCCCAAGCGACCCATTTCAACTTCTGAAGCTATCTCATTTGACCAGACTAAAGTTGGTAAACAGGCCACGACCTATATTCTATATGAACATGTTTAACAAGTCCCTACCGAAACCTTCAATCCTGTTTGAAATCACTCATCTCCAAGTTCAATTATCGAGAGAGTCCATCTGATATACCGTACAGACATCCAGTACGCTAATAGTGCCGCAGATGGATTTTGGAACGCTTTCATTTGCATACGGAAATGCGAGAAAGTTGTTACACATGCAACAAAGACAGTTTGCTAGATTATTAGCTAGATACCTCACTGGGAAACGGTGAGATCTCGTCTGATAGCCTTCAAAACGAACAATTCCCAGAAACATTGAAGTGGAGGACAAGCCTTTAAGGGTCTGTCATCATACACCTCCCGAAGCTTGTTTTCTCCGTTTGCAAACCCCTAGTGCGCTTCATTAATGAGCACACCAAGCCCCACTGGAGCTTTCACCGAATTCGCCGAGGAGTTGCCTGGGTCATGAATACCGAATATCAAACATCCCGAAAGACTTGCGAGTCTCCAAAAACCAACGGCGGAGCAAGCAAATCCCCTACTATTAACAATTCAAACGAAACCTTTCTTCATCCCCGCCATTTTCTCTAAGCCTGAATACTCTGCAGAATTTTAGTGCGGGGCTACTGTTAGCTCCCGCTCCACAAGTAGGGGCGAATTCCGCTAGCTATTTTTGCAAGAATTCCTGGAAAAATACAGGAATTTTTTGGGATTGTGTCCTCGCTCAAGTGAAAGTCGAGCAGGCCCCCAAATCTGCCGCTCGGTCCATTGCAACATAACACGAAGATCTCTCATGCAATGCCGTATTATCCCTTTTAAAACACTGTCTGATGCATCTAGTATGTCGGGGTTCCGCGGCATAACTGATTGTTTGTGTATTAGTTCAATATTGTCCCACAGCAACGTAGAAATTTGCATACTACGAAAGTGATGAACTGCAGAGTCAAAAGTCTATAACGTTGGTATCAAAAATTCAATGTTTGAACTCCTTGTGACATTGTAGCACTGCGTTTCCAAACATTGAAATGCATGAGAAGGCTGAAGGAGGATGAGGCTTACACGATCGACCTGGTTTTAATAGTCCCATGATTAGACATTCAGAAAAAAGCGTATTATGAAGAGGCACTTCTGTCCAACAAGGGTCGTGCAGGGATCCGTGGTGGAAAAGTAAGCTCAGATAATGTAATTAACCGTTGGAGCAGGACCATTGATTTGGGATTCTTCCAGCGACATAAGGGGCGAATATATTGCGATGATGGTTTGACAAAATGCGGGGTAACAAGCAAACGGTCTCGGGGTCCTCGCACAGCAAGACGACAGGAGCACTGCGTAGGCGGTGTGCAGTTATGGTATGTAGTGACCTCATCAACTTGATGAACTATTCGTTCGTAGATGGTAAACAACGTATCAAATGAGTGCCGATAGCACTTCATGGCGATTAAACAAAATCTTGGAATTCGGACTGAAAACAACAAACACACTCGTGGCCATCACAATATCTCTCCTACACCTCAAGAGCATATGCACTTCAATGCTCTGTGAAAAGGAAACTCGAGCCGAACGGCAGGTCTAGAAAAACGGATGTAATAACGGAAAGCTGGATAACAAATTCCGGATGCGCAGATAATGACCAGAAGGGTTTAGATGAGAGCCTATCGAACCCCGGAAAACATGCACAATTCTGCACAAGCGACTCTTCAAGGAAGGATTGTCATTGAAAGTGTTCGACCCCCTAACATAAATCCAAATATCAAGTTGATACTATGCTGCATTGATGTATGATTTGATAGTTAACTCTCATCGTCGATGAAAACCGTTCTTTCGTTCCTGAAATCTTGGAGGAGTAGGCCAGATATACATATTGAGTAAGGGATGACGTTAACATCGGTCGACACACGTCGGAGATTTTATACAATCTGGAAGCTCTCACTGCGTACCCTTGTACTCCCTGGGATCTTCAAAGCTTCTCGCTATTTCGAATTCACGCTGCTTTGATGCGATGTTACTCTTATTAGCAACTTCTTGATGTGATAACCATATACAGAATAAAGGTAATTGGTGGAACTCTGTACAATGTACACTTTCACACACTTTTTACATGTGGAAGCGGCAGTCAACGTCCGTAAGGGCTGTAAGGATAAAATGGTCCCTAATAAGCACCCGGAACGGTCAATGAAGGCTGATCCGGCTCGCTCCGTTCTATCAATAAGGGGATTTAGGTTACATAACTAAACGAATTAGGAATGAATTGGTTGGTTTAGAACAGCCACTCCAGTTCTTTTACACTTCTTCCTAGTTTATGTATGGGTGGTTTGTAAGTAATGCTTGGTTCAAGTTGGTTGGCTGGGTAAGTTTCGATGGAACATTGAGGAACGTGCATGAAAACTTTTGGAAAATCAGCTCATTATATGAAATTCTCGTCAGTTATGGCATTTGAGAAGTTACATTCTAACACATTTCGAGGTCGATAATGTTTCTAATCCAAGTAATATCCATTCATTCTCATCCAAAGAGAAGCCAAAGGCATGTGCCTTGGCCTCATAACTTCATACCTAGGGTATACAACCATATGAAGTACCCAATCAACTGTTTGCTCTTCTATGCAAACACACACAGAGTCATAGACACGGCTCCATTGTGGGATCTCGATGACATCCGGGGAGCTCTACGGAACTGGAAATATTCATACGGGATTGGGGTCCGGTAAGTAATGG